ACTGCACTGCAGCTGGGGTAACAAGAGCAAAACTCCATCCCAAAAACTAACAAACAAACAAGAAAAGAAAAGAAATCATTCATAAAAGTCATAAAGATATTTTAATACATGAGTTAGATATTGGATGTCATTTTTTACACACGAAGTTATAATACCATGAATAGGTGATTATTTCCCCCGGGATTATCAACTGTCATCTATTTCTACTTTTTGTCTTTTTTTTTCTTTTTTGGTACAAATAATACACTCTTAACTAACACAGTTTTATAGAAAGTCTTACCTGATTAAAAGATAATCCTTCATTTTTCTTAAAAAATGTATTGATTATTTTGCATTTGCTTTTCATGTAAATTTTAGAATTAGTTTGTCAGAGTCCATGAAAAGATCTGGTGAAATTTAGAGTTTCACTAAATCTATGGATCAATTTAAGGGAAATTTACATTTTTTATGTTATTATTTTCCCATTTTGGACCATGTTTATCTTTCCATTTATTTCCATCTACTTTAATGGCTTTCAGTGAAGTTTTAAGATTTTATTTATTAATATCTTGCCCATTTAAAAAGATATTCTGAGGTACACTGTATTTTTTGCTATTAATGAATTTTTTGTACATTAATGTTATATCTAGCAAATTGATACACTTTTCTTTCTTTTTTTTTTTTTGAGATGGAGTCTCACTCTTGTTGCCCAGACTAGAGTGAAATGGCACGATCTCAGCTCACTGCAACCTCTGCCTCCCAGGTTCAAGTGATTCTCCTGCCTCAGCCTCCAGAGTAGCTGGGATTACAGGTCCCTGCCACCATGCCCAGTAAATTTTTTATTTTTAGTAGAGATAAGGTTTTGCCATGTTAGCCAGGCTGCTCTCAAACATGCTGGGATTATGTGGTGGCATGTGCCACCACAGCCAGTGACACTTTTTAATGTGAATTCTTTACATATTATTTTGAGTTGCTATATAGTTTGCTATATAGTTATATCATAGGTGGCAGTTTAGCTTCTAATAGTCTTTATATACATATTATTCATGTTTTTGATATAGCTGCACTGACTAGAGACTTTAATACAAAGCTGAATAGAAGTTGTCTACTAGTAAAAGAAAGATAGTGGACGTCTTTCTCTTATTTCAGACTTAAAATAATTACTTATAACGTTTCACCATTTGGAGTGATTTTTGCATAGATGGCCTTTATCCAGTTAAGGAAGTCCTTTCCACTCTTGCTGTTTTTGTTTTTTTAGTCATAAGTGCTTTATTTTATTACATTAAAAAATCTATTAAATAATCATAAGACCTTTCATTAAAAAGAAAAAAACAAAAACAACAAGTCTCACTCTGTCACCCAGGCTCAAGTGCAGTGGCACAATCTTGGCTCACTGCAAACTCCACCTCCAGGGTTCAAGCAATTCTCCTTCTTTGGCCTCTTGAGTGGTTGGGATTACAGGCTACTGACACCACGCCTGGCTAATCTTTGAATTTTCAGTAGAGATGAGATTTCACCATGTTGCCCAGGCTGGTCTTGAACTCCTGACCTCAAACAATCTACCTGCCTAGGCCTCCCAAAGTGCTGGAATTACAAGCATGGGTCACTATGGTCAGTCAATCATAAGGCCTATTTTGTTCTGTGAATGTGGTTTGACTCACTGCAACCTCTGCTTTCAGGGTTCAGGAGATTCTCCTGCCTCAGCCTCCTGAGTAGCTGGGATTACAGGCACCCGCCATCATGCCCAGCTAATTTTTGTATTTTCAGTGGAGATGGGGGTTTCACCATGTTGGCCAGGCTGGTTTCAAACTCCTGACCTCAGGTGATTACCTGCCTCAACCTCCCAAAGTGCTGGGATTACAGGTGTGAGCCACTTTGCCCGACCACATCAATAAACTTCTATTTTAGGATTACACCCAGCTTACTTGAAGTTTGTTGTTGTTTTCTTCATTACTGTGCTTGGTTTTCCAGTAGTTTATAAGTTTTTAATCAATATGTTCATTAATAAGATTGGCCACTAACCCTAACCCTTATAGATTGTGTTGGAGAGTGTTCACTTTTTTTTACATTGTAATTCTAATTTGAATGACCCGTAGAATTCCTATTTAGAATCAAGATACCAGGTAGTTTTTGATTAAGAAAATATTTTATCCACTGAAGTAGTGTATAAATAAAATGCACAAATCATAAATGTATTGCTCAATATGTTTTCAAACGCTAACCACAATCATATAACCAGCATTCAGATCATGAAGTAGAATGTTACCAACCTAACCTAAAATGTTAACCCAAAAGCCACTCTCATACTCCCTTCAAGTAATTATCGGAAATAGTTTAAATGACTAATACAATTTAATTTTATTGGATTATTCACATTGTCTTTTTTTTTTTTTACTAACTTTTGTTAGGTTACAATTTTTAAGGAGGAATATTTCTGTTTTATCTTACATTTTCAAATTAATCATATGAAATTGCTCATGCTATTCTGTTATATTTCAAATATCTGCTATATCTATAGTTAAATATTATTTATGTCTTTTTCCTTGATAAGCTTTACCAGAAATTTGTAATTTCCAATACTTTTTCAAAAGTGCCAAATCGGACTATATTTTGATATTCTATTATATTCTTGTTTTCTATACCATTAGTTTCAATTTTTTCATATTTTATTACATGCCCCTTATATTTTGAATCTTATTCTGTTCTTTTACTAACATGAGTTGGATCAGTAGATCATTAATTTTCCCTTTATTTTTAATACAACCGTTTAAGGACTTACATTTCCCTCTTGGAACCATTTGAGCTGACTCCTACAAGTTTTACTATGTAGAATTTTCATTATTGTTCAGTTCTTATGATTTCTATTTTGAAGTAAGTCATTTTAGGGATGTTTCAAAATTCCCAAATGTAAATTTTAAAAATTACCTATGGTTGTTAATTTGAGTTAAATGTTAACATGATGAAAATATTCAATCTGTATGAAAGATGCTTTGAATTTTGCAGACAATTGGCCTAGAAGGCCAGTTTTAGTAGATTGCTCATATATACACTTTATAGACATATATTTACACATATATATGTACATGTGTGTATATGTATATATGTGTGTATATATGTATACATATATATATATGTATATAATGTTCCTGTTGCATCATTGATATTCCTTCTCAGTGTTCTTTCTTCTTGCAATATAGTTTTTAGAATTTCTTTTAATTAGGGTATATAGGCATTAAGCACTCAGTTTTTTTTTTTTTTTCATTTTAAATGTCTTTTTCCTAGAAATGTAAATTATAAATAGAACTCTTCATCCACTCTCTTCTGGATTATTCAAATCATTTATGTATAGCAATGGACAGAGAGTTAGGAGGCCAGGACTCAAGATCCAACTCTGTCTTTGAAATATGTTATGATTTTGGGTAAATCCTTCCATATCTCTAAGACTTAGTATTTCTTCACAAAGTCAGAGTAAAATAATCTCTAAAGGCCCCTCTAGCTCTTACACTCTGAATAGGAACAAATGAATATATAGTGTTAGAAAACAGACAGCAGGGCCAGGCTCAGTGGCTCATGCCTGTGATCTCAGCACTTTGGGAGGCCGAGGTGGGCAGATCACAAGGTCAGAAGATCAAGACCATCCTAGTCAATACGGTGAAATCCTGTCTCTACTAAAAATACAAAAATTAGCTGGGCGTCGTGGCACGTGCCTATAATCCCAGCTACTCAGGAGGCTGAGGGAGGAGAATAGCTTGAACCAGGAAGTTGGAGGTTGCAGTGGGCAGAGAACATGCCACAGCACTCCACTCCAGCCTGGTAATTGAGGAAGACTCCCTCTCAAAGAAAAACAAAACAAAACAAAACAGAGCAGAAGCAGGGGGTGGGTGGGGGGTGTAAAAGCAGCACCATTTGAGAATTATAGGAAGAGGGAAGACAAGATTACCTCTTATGTTCTTCTTCGTAGAAGAATAAAGGGAAGACAAGGTTACATCTTATGTATTCTTTTGTTTAAAACTTTCTGGTAAGAAATTACAAGTACCACAAGTCCCAGTGATATACCTACCATTTGTTTGTTCAAAGATTTACCTTGTGTATGGCAGTTTAAATTAGTGGTCTTTCGTACAGAGTCTTCCCACCTGTAGTTCTCAGATGCCCCAGCACTAGTAGGCTGAAATGTGATGCTGGAGAGAGAAGTGGAAGAGAAGAGACACTCTTTTCTGACTTTCATGGTATGAGTTTCATGTATGCCCTAGTATTAATCACTCTTATTAAGGTTCAGTAGACTGGGTATCAGTAGTCTTGGTTCTCCTGCAGACCTGTTCCTTTTAAAAATGGAAAAAAAGATAGTCTTAGTGAATGAATGCTGATCTTGGTTATTAACTTTCTCACTCTTGGAATTTCCATCTATAAAATGAGGGTAAAGTAATCACAAGGATATTGAAAATGGACTAACATTGAAAAGTCTTGAAAATGCTGTTACTTTTTCCTGTGTGTAGTTAGTACTTTCCTTTCTCCATATTTATTTGTATCCATATCTATCAGCTCAACTAGACTAAAAACTCATTGAAAGGAACTGTATGTCATTTTTATCTGTATGCTCAAGATGCCTAGTACAGACCAAATTCTCAATGTTTGAAAAGTATGCGTAATACAGATGGAATAAAATTATGAAAAATTCAGCCACTTGTTTGTGACGAAAATGGAGAATCCCAACCCCACCCTAAGGGAGCCATTTACTTGCTTCCAGCTTTAAAAATAAAAAATGCCTTGCAAGATCAAGACACAGAGTGGTCAGACAGTTTTAGAACACCTCTGACCTTAAGTTATTCTGTGCTAACAGTGGAAGAGAGTGGGTGCTTTTATACTCTTGTGGCATCATATTTGCTATGAGAGATATTCCCTTTCTCAGAAGACCATATGGAAAGCAAATGATGTAAAAAATGAGTCACTCAGTAAAGGGGGTTAGAAGAAAAGGAAACAGAGATTATCCAACTCAAAAAGAATTCCACACATAGGCAAGTAAATGTAATAAGAAGTTTATTGGATTTCTAAATATAATAAAGTAGTTGCAATTCTTTTACAGAAAAAAGAAATATAATTTCCATATTTATTTTTATAGAGCATTGAAAAAACATAATTGATAGAGAAAACTGATAGAAGGTAAATAGAAAACAGGTCCTAATATAGTTGGATAATGCACAAACACGAAAGAAAATACATAAATCACTTGCTTATACCAGATTTTATTCTCTTATTTTCATAATGAACTATGTGTGCTATTTTGGATACATCAGTGATGGTTTGTAATGTAGTGAATAAATGCAATTTGCTAAGAATATAAGAAAAAAGAGAAACCTATATTTTAGGAATATCATGGCTCTGTCAGTATCACACATATGAAAATAGACATATTCCCTATATGTTTTCGTGTGCCTTTCCCTAAGTCAGGGAATGTTATTCAGACTAGCAGCTGTTCATGGTGGGGCTACGATTGTGCTTAGCTAGTAGGAAGTGCTGCTCTTAGTAGATACATTCAGCGTAGAGAAAACCCCACTTCTCACCCTCTCCCCCTTATCTATCCACTTGTAAACACCATTTAACCTTCACATAAAGATTATCTTTCATGGTCATAATCATCAGATGGAAACTCAGAGCAAAGCCATGCTGTGTCTTTCCCAGTCCATTTGTTTCTAAGGAAAAAAAAAATCTCTGTATCCCAACATCCTTATGACACCACACTGAAATTTTTGAACTCTTTTCTTGCACTAAAATCTGATTCCCTAAAAAAATTTAAAAATGACTAGTGTTGAAATTGGATAAGGTAAAAGCAGAAAAGGAACATCAACAGGAAGAGTAGACATTTTTAGTGAAAAGTATCACTCTTTTGCCAAAAAGTCAACTGGATTCATACAATGCTGATGACTGGAGCAAGGTGGTCACACTCTTGAAATTATAAAACATGGCTGTTCCAACCTCGCCCATAGCTTATGTAAAGGGGCTCCTTATATGGAAAACAGAATGGTGGTTGACTGCAACGGCGTGGAGTTCATCTTCCATAGTGTGTCCCCTTTTACTTCCATTTGGTAAAACTGGGTAAGGTAGGAGACAACTTTATGACTAAGAGGGCACCAAAAGCTTCCTTGGATAAAGGTTAAGTGGCGGTATCTTGCTTTCCCCAAACAGAGGCATATTCAAGTGAATATGGAGCCAACTGACTTAGAAGGAAAGGGAACGACTTGGCAAGTGTAATCTGCCAGCTGGTTGAGTCAGACGACACATTGAGAACGATCTTTTTTGGAATCATGTCCTCCCTTCAACCCTTCTCCTACAATCATGCCCTGTCTACCTCATCCTATTTACATGGACCCTCTCCTATTGCCACCCTTAGGTAAGAATGCATCACTCTAGGCTATGCTGCTGCTCCATCAACAGTATTGACAGTTCTGTCAGTGACCGAACTATGGAAACAAGAGCCATGAAATAACATACACTACTATTTTTACGAGTCGGAATAATGCTCTAAGGATCTGGCAAAGACATTTGGCCCCCCGAGCTTCCAATCCCCACTGCCAAGACTTTTCTTTAATTTTCTCTCATGGTAGCCTGAGAGACAAAAGGAGAGGAAACATGTCGACACTCTAACACTCTAAAACTACTGATGCTTAGTTTATAAAACACACATATACGCACATCCTAATACAGACTATGGCGCTATTAATTCTCTTAAACATTTTTTTTACTGACTAAATGTTTCAACGCCATAAAGCTTACATTCCCTTGAAGCAGAGTACAGGAAACCTCAGCAATATGCTACCATCCAGTAGGATAAAAATATAAAGAAGCTGTATCAGCAAGGGATGCTCAGGGAATGTGTTTGCAGCCCGTTTCACGGTAGCCACTCAAGAGGGGATATTGGAAGTGAGTGACTTTCTTCCATTTGGCAAAGTTTCCTTATCTCAGCACCTACTCTTTCTGATGGTATGTTTTTGAAGGCTGCACAGTACGACTCTGGGTACCGTGTGTACATACATATGTAAGGAATAACGTTTATGTTGCTCAGAATAGGCACTTTGTGAAGGCAGTAAATCTAAAAGTAAAGTTAATAGAGCCTATATTTAGTGCTCATCTTCTCACTTTGCTGATGTGTATGCTGAACAGAAGATCACAGATTTGAGTCAGTCTCGCAAAGAGGCCGGAGTCGGCAAATGGCTATATTCAGAACTGGGGAAGTCTTGCCAACTCAACTGTAGCTGTTAAAAAGGCAGACTTGGAGAAGGTGCAGTCGTTTTTCTCAAAGGTGACGGCACAGAAGGAGAAAAGGCATGAAATAAAAGCCTGCCTGCGTGGCTCAGGGAAAATTACTATTCTCAGGCTCTGTATCTTCACGTCACATCTACTTCATGACACAGATTTGCTACTTAGAAAGTCCTTTCCCTTTCCTTTTTTGTATGTCTTATAATTGCACATATTCCCTTACTTAGCTGTAGAGAAAGAGAAGCCCCAAATCTGTTAGAGTAATGATAAAGGTGTAAGTGAAAAGGCAAAACAAAACGAAAGTGGTTTATTATATAGAAAACATGCAAAAGCTCAATGCTACATCCAGCTGTAAAGGTTTCGCATCTAAGTGTAAATTTTCACTTAAGGCACGTTAAACCACATGATAATTTTATGCATGCCAAATAATCAGGCCATCAAGTGTTATCTTTAATCCTGTTTGCTCTTTGAGATGTTTCTTGAAAAAGAATGAGGGCATAATTCAGATTTTCAGAGGGGAAATATTCTGACTTTGCTTAAGAAAAAAATGAGTCTTGGATAATTTGCTCATCAGCTTTCCCAAAAGAGGAAATGGGGAGTAAAAGGAAGAAAGTCTTTTAAAAATAATTTTGCTACTACTTTACTATAAAGTGTTGGTGAAAAGATTTCATTTCCAGGGTCCTAAATGTTTTTCATCAAAAATACTTCTCAGTTCAGACTTCTCCATTATGCTAGAAGGATGGCATGGTCCTATGCTAGTTTCAATTTGCTACCTAGAGAGGGCGGTCCAAGGCACTTTAACTATTTTGGGCACTATAATCCTGATATGTTGATGTATTTGACACACTTCTAAAAATTAAGCTGAAAGTATATAGGATTAGTAAAATGCAAACACTGCCCAAATACCAACTCCCCTTTTATTATTTGAAAGTCAAAATATGATGCCATACCTACTGTTGGCATTTAAATTCTAAAAATCTCTTTCCCTCTCAAAGTTTATGCTTGAAAGAATGAAACACATTGGGCAGATATATCCTAACCTGCCCAAGCTACCCTCCAATTTCTGGTTTATAATTGCCAAGTGAGCCTTGCTGTCACCCAAAAAGGAGAGATAAGAAGGAACTGACTTTTTTTCCTTTATACTTAACATCTCCCAAGAAAGAATAAAAAAAGTAGAAATGTATCTAAGAAAAGCTAGCTCTTCCCATTTTGCATTTCTTAAACTAGTTCGGAAGCAGAGTTAAATAATTTGCGTGTGAGGAACGACATTCAGACTTCATATTTACTCTCTTGCGATGAAAGAAACAGACAAGAAAGCAGCGATTACTGCTATGCCTCGGGATAAAGCACAGCAGACACCATACAAAGTGGCAACACAATACATCAATAATAATGACCAAGAATAGTTCTTTACCCTTTCCCCAACAGACAGAAATATAAAGAGGGAATCATGCATGAGAGTTAAATACCTGTTTCCACCCCCACCTCAAATTGCTTTGGAATATTTTAAAAGATAAATGGATCCACACAAAATTTAAATAGCTTTTTCTTCTCCTTTTCAGCTGCTACGAAAATGGGTCAGGTATAGGATTTATTAATTTCCTGGCCTGAAAACCCAAGTGCTTAAAAATAAGATTTATTTTTTGAAGGATCAGCTTTCTTGGAAGGTGTTTATGTCTGTGTGTGTATGTGTGTGTGTGTTCTGAAGACAATATAATTGCATTATCCCTAAATATGGGAGAATATATTATGTAGAGTGAAATATGAAATTTTTTATTAGTTTTTTTCTTTATGTGAAGATAAATTAGATGATTTATAAAGGTATTTGAAAAGAACGTTTTTCTAAAAGGCTGCTTTTTCACATTTACCACCTCATTGTCTTTTTATTCCCTCTAATCAGACAACACAGATTCCATCCAAGTGAGTGTCTCTCCTCAGGCATACTAGATAATTCTGAGACGTGCTCAAATTGTGTCTTCTATTAATCCATTTCAGGAGTGGGAATACTCCATCTATTCGACAAGAATCATTTTCCACTCCATTGGCCATAATATTTATGAAGCCTCACAGGGAGGTGAGGCACCTTTCTAGTCTTTGAATGTGCCATCTCAACCAAGGCCACCATTCTCCCGGTCCCATTAATGTCTCCTTTATTCCTCAGGTGTGAGGACTAGGAAGGGTTGAGAAGCCATTTGCCATTTAACTTGGCTCTCATTAGTCCCAGGGAATAAGCAGGTGGATGATGATACTGTCTTGATGGATGATAAACTCCAGGGAGGGAAATGCATAACACACTTACCAGGTATGATTATTTTAAGGGATTCTTAGATTTAATGCAGGAGATTTAATGAGAAGAAACTATAATTTTTCTCTTACTTCACACATTTTAGGGCATAGCAAACAACTAAAGGAGCGAAATGAGGAGATAAAAAGTGAAAAGCACACCTTAAAGGTACAGTTTCCTGAGGGATGCAGCTCAAGAGAAGGAACACTTTGTTGCTGAAATGCTACATAGAGCAACTTCTAGAGTATACATGGAGACCTTCTAGCAGGTTGTCCGAAAACATGGTACCGAATTCCTTGTAATTATAATACATCACAAAATGACAGCAACCTGGGAAGCAAAGTCTATCAAATGGCAAAGGCCAAATCTCAAATGCCAACAGTTCCATAACATTTGTTCACAGACATTTCCGGTCATGGATTGGTTGGATTGGAAATGCCTGTGGCGGCAACATGCACTTGGTGCGTTCTCAATAAATGTGAACGGAGAGAAAGACTAAAATGCATTGTTAACCTACAGCAGTTTCTGCCTCTGTGGAACATATATCATGGTCCATGGGAGAGAGACTTCTTTTAGGAATCAAGTCAGCTCTGCACATCAAGGAATTCTAAATTATATGGTCTCGGTTGATATTCTGAACCTGACAGTTAAGGAGAGGTTTTCGGTTAATGTAATGTAAACCAACTCTCTCTGGGGAAGTTTACTGCAATGTGCTTCTTTCTGCCCACTGTTTGTTCTTATCAGTGGTCTTTTCCCACCCCTTCCTCATGGTGCTGATCACACGGAATACCTAGCAGTTTCCCACAAGATGACACAGATGTGTGCAAGTGCTAAATGATCTCTAAGACCGCAGCACACGTGCGGATTTGCCAGTTGGTCTCTGAATTTCCCTGGACGACTAGGGGCCTGGTAGTGTGTGAGAAGTCTATATTGCCTTCTAAGGTGTTCTCGGCCCTGAGTGGGCTCCCTGTAGACAGCACTGGACTTGCAAGACCTGGGCATATCTCTAAATCTGCCACTTCCCAGCTATGTCATAGCTTTTGGCAAGTCACTTAATGATTTGAGCCTCAGCTTTCCCTTCTAGAATAGGGCTATTAATAACTGTCCTCCCTGGGCTATTTTCTGTGTGGAAGCAGTTTTTAAGCTCTCTTAGGAATTATTATTTTAGAGCTCAGAAAGCTACCTCCAGGTCCTGCCCAGGAGACCGATGGCAATTTCTGCCTACAGGCCCCTCTCATTCAAAGCTGGGGTAGAAGAAGCCACAATCATGGTCTTCCCAAAGACAAACGAATACTATTGAAACTGATTAGTCATCCAGAGCAATGAGGAAAGCGTTTGTACATTTCCACATAAAACTATCGCATAATATAACCCCTTTCCTCAAGAATGATATCCTTTTCCACAGATGAACTAAGGGAAAACAATGAGCTTTCCACAGTACCACTATCTTTTGCTTTTGACTTTTTCCTTGTTAGAGCTGGGGATTATACACCAACATTTCCCAGCATTTTTAAGATCATTATCAACAAGTCAAATAAATGGGGTGTACTGTTCATGGGTTAGTTGCTGGGGAAGGCATGAAGCTACCTAACAACTGTCAGAACGATCTGTCTTCTAAACAGGAAAGTACAACCAGCAACAAAAGCTCATAAACTCTAACGTCTGGCTCTCAGGACATCATTCAGACTAATTTTAGGGATGCTTGAAAATTTGTATAATCAGAGCTTTTTCAAAAAAGTAATGCATTGCTCAAAACAAAACAAATAGATATGAAAGGAAAAGGAGGGAGGAAGCAACATTGTATTGTGTACTACTGGTTAGTTTTGTGTGGCACCAAAGAGAACACAGGCCCCAAAGCCTGGCTCTGTTTTAAAGTCAGGGGTAGCTTGTAACAAAATGTGATGCAAGAAATGTAAGACCTCAAGGGGTAATGAGCTCCTCGACACAGGTGATGTTTAAGTAGATTCGGAATTAGCACTTAGCGATGAATTTGTAAGGGAATTTTAACACCAAGTGGAACAGATGGCTGGGAAGTCCTTTCTAATAATGAAGTTAGACTCAATAGGAATATAGAGATGTCCTGCTTGTTCTCTTGTGGAGGGTCAAAAGACATGTACACTTGCTGCAAGAATAGAGGATGTAGCTGTGGCTCAATAAGAACGCTCATTCTCTGTTACAATAAAATTCATGGAGGGCTGTTTCATACTGAGCATGTTGGATTGTATTTTGGCAGATCATCTTCTCTTCCACTTATAAAAAGATGGAAAAGCAAGCAAGTACTTATTTAGGCTTCCTCTATGCCTTTTTATTCCCACTGAGCCTGCTTATCTGGAAGCCTTTTTTTTTTTTTTTTCTAGTAAGAAGAAATTTCCAGAAACCATGACATTTTGACCAATGCAGCAGGTCTTCTCTGAGTATAGCTCGTGTTTCTCCATTGTGCCTTAAATACTCTTTTCTCAACTTCCAAATCAAGTCAATGAATCAGCTCAAGATTTCTCATCAAATTTTATTCCCTCCATAAAAGTCTTAGTAATGTCACTGGAATTACTCTTCCTGATGCCACATTCCTTCCCATTGAGTAAGTACAGATTGAAACTGTTTGATCTTATCACAGTTGGCCTGAATCAAAGTTACTTAGGTGCTGATTCTCTTACAGTGATTAGTTGGTAATTACTAAATTGAAGAGCTGAGTAAGGTTTAAGGATGTTGGAACGACAAAAAGAAAAGAAAAATATGGACTCCTAAATGATAAGTGAAAGAATCTGCTCCCTTGGTGTAACGTGCAACATCTCCAGGTACAAATATTTGAGTACAGAATGCATGAAGTGAATCTCAAAACCAGTAAATATTTATGTAGAAGCTGTAAAGTATCCATATATTTATGTAGAACCTGTAAAGTGTTCATATTTAGTATGAAAATATGGACCAAAAATGTCTTATTCTGAAGAAGACATGGATAAAAGGAAAGGGTTGAATGGATTATGAGCTGACCCAGAAGTGGGAATCTCATGGATGGCATATGCATTAGCTTGCTTCCCATTTTCAGAATGAATTTGATTTTGGCAACATCCAGAATAGTACAGAACAAAAAGTAACAGAACTGTCTGTACACATGGGAGTTCTGTCCTTATGTAGCTTTTACGCTTCTGGGTCTGAGGTTTTTTTGGAGAAATTCCCTTTGGGTGATTCCAATTTCATTTACTTTCAGCCCTAAAGAAAGCCTTTCAACTTAGCCTGACCCAAGGTGAATTGCCAAGTTTCACTGAGTACATTAAAAATTAGAAACTATGTTTTTGTCCACTTTTTAAAGAAGCAGCAGACAGTGATGGGACTTGACAGTATGTCAGTAAACGAAGAAAAGCTGAATGAGTTGGTGATACTGGACACGAAGAGGCAAAGATTTGGATGTAACACTTGTTTTGTGCAGCTACAGAGCTAGAACAGACTGATGTCAGCAGTATTACATACTGGCCAGGAATAAGAAGATATGGGATGGTAATTCATCAGGAGACTATCAGAGAAGATTCAGGTCTTTAAAAGGGCCACGATTCTAATTTATTTGGAAATAGTGTTTGAGGTCAACTGTAACTCTCTAAAGTGGTACAGAACACAAGTTGACATGGTGACACTTCTCATTCTTGGTAGGACATTCCATTTGTAGGGCTGAGAACTGAATTTAGAAGCTACATTCAGTGCCAAGTTGACTGAACTGTGGCTGTTTAATAAGGTTTTTATTTGAGTACATTAGGTAAATACCCACCAGAGTTAAATGAATAAGTATTTCTCTGGCCCTTAAGTGCATGGATATCTAGGAAAATTAACAATGCCACATAACATGAAAGGCTTAATGCCATCATCTGAAAGTATTATAAAGGAATTAGCTGCAGTGTTTCCCCCTCTCTTTAGCATACATAGGTGTTTACAGAATATTAATTTTTATTTTGAACAAAGGCTAGAAATAGAGATATTTATCAGTTAAATAACCAGAAGTTAATAGCAAAAATTTAGCACTTTTTTGTAATTTTGCGGGGAACCTGTCAATCAGTTAAAAGAAAAAAAATGCATCTTTACCCAGCTCTCCACAAAATAAGAGAAATGCATGTTGTAAGTAAGAAAGAGTCCACAACTTTCTGCATGAGGGCCAGGAAAATAAAATAGAAAAGGGAATTAGTGTCCTTTTTTCTGGATTGAAGGGAAATTATGCCTGTAATCTGTGATCTAAGAAAAACTCTGGTGCTGCCCAACCTGCTAAAAAATATTTTAGTATCAACTATTACAATATAATATTAGTCTCATGGGCTAAGTGCTAATCTGTGTTAAAATTCTGAAAATATAATGGGTTATTCCTTTGCCATAAGGAAAATTATCAAGTTGCAATGGAATAAAATAAAATGCCATCATTACAAATATAATTTTTGTGGTTAAATGGCTTTAGATTAAAAAAAAAAATCTTAACCTCATCTTTGAAAGATTACTCTGTATACAGCTGAGAAAACCAGATCAGTCATAAATGAATTTGCCAAAAATCTGTGACCTGAGTCCCTGATGAAAAGTCATTAAAATGAAATGGAAAGATTCTATTATCTCATTTCACCTTACTAATAAATACAACCTAAAAATATGGCCTTATAAAGGAAGATTCTTATTGATGCCACATATAATTTCTGGTAGCCTTCCCCTTATTAATATAATCATAATTACATAGAATCATAATGCATTAATTTAATTTATAAAAAATCCATGTACAGCAACACTAATAGGTAGGAAAGAAAGAAGGAAAGAAAGGGAGAGAGGAAAGTAGGAAAAATCAGAAGGGGAGGAAGGAAGAGGGAGAAAGGGAGGGAGGCAGAAAAGGAGAGAGGAAGAATTCTCACCAAGTCATAGTAGGTCCAGCCAGGTAACTTTTTAAAGGTTTAAAATAAAGCTATGCTATCCAAACAACAGTCTCATGAGAAAAGTTTCATTCTAGTTATCTGGCAACTACATAACTTGACCTAAAATATTCACGGTTGCACCATGTTAATGTCTCACTGAGAACTAGTTTTCAACTTGTTTGGACCACTATTAAACAAATAAAATGAAGACAATTAAAAAATTCTTGAATGGGTGGTAAAAGCTCAAACTGAAGTCTCTGTATTCATTATGTCACTAGAACTACTGTAAAATCAAATAAAAAACATTAACATCCTATAAATCACCTTCTGGCATAAGAATGTTTTACTTATTTAAAGACCTATGAGATACTTCTAAGACAAGGAAAAAATAAATACTATTTAGAATATATTAAGATGAAAAGTTGGCTTTCTCTTTCTCTCTCTCTCTCTTTTTTTTTAACTTTTTAAAAAAAATTTTTGATGAGTAATATCTTTGAGATTTGGTGGTTACCATTTACATTATTGACACTTCAGTGGAACATTCATAGTAGTGTACATAGATTCTTTGAAAATAAGGCACAAATCTATGTTGCTCTCTGTCTCCCATGAGAGTGCACCAAATGAGCGATCCCAAGAAATGGACTTCAGGCACATTTTGCAGAGGTATCTTTTTCAGTTTGCTGGTTTCCCACAGATGGCTAAAGCAGGGGTATGGAACATGCTGTCATATTTCATTCATAACACACATGTACTATAGCTCTAGGCAACAGATGGACAATCGCTTGTTTAAACTACAAATGTGAAATACTAAGGTAGAATAGCAATATTTCTAGAAATGTATATGAAAAAATAAAGCCTTTCCAAGCCAAGAAGAATGGTGAGAGGCTCTGAGGTTACATCAGTGTTTCCCTGATCTCCCTAGCAGCTGCCATAATTTCCCCAACACCCTTCAAAACTTGATAATGGAAGGATCAGGGGGCAGCCGACACAGATTTGACAAGAGAAACCCAAATCATATCAAATAGAAATAACACTGTTATTCCTGACTGGTTCACATTAATAGGATTTTTACTAACTATAGAAATGGCTGGAAATTGTGTTTTCAGAGTCCTGTCTATGTTCCTTTAAATCTCTACTATAGCCCCATGGAAAAAGCCCTCTCTTTCTTCCTCTGTACCCAAATATAAAATACTTGTTTAAATGTAGTTACTGTTTTATATCCTCGAAACCTCACCATAAACATCTCTGCAGGACCTTTCATAGAGAACAATTACAGTGTTGGTAAGTCCACCTCCTTAATCAGCACATACCCAATAAAGTAATTTTGATCAGAGAAGTTGCTCCCACAAAAGTAACAATGTGTTAATGACAAGAAAAAGAACCCACATCTTTGAGCTGCAGAGATGCCAGCATCTAACGACCTGATGCCTTATGCTGGGACACATGACTTATTTTTGAGTCAATTTTTTTTAAGCACATGCCACCATGTCTGGCTAATTTGTTTTTTATTTTATTTTATTTTTTGTAGAGACAGGGTCTTATTATGTTGCCCAGGCTGGCATCAAACTCCTGGCCTCAGGCGATCCTCCTGTCTTGGTCTCCCAAAGTGCTGGGATTACAGGTGTGAGCTACTGCACCTGGCCTTATTTTAAGCTTTAAGGGCAATTTTCTTTGCCACTGAGACTCTATGTTGAGTCAGTATGGTCTGAAGATCAAAAATTTAAGAAATCTTAGTGATATGTTTTGCAGAACCCATGATATAGTGGATTTTTTTTCCTTTTCCATGTTTCTCTTGTAATACAGAATTACCAAATATTTATATTCTTGAAACTTTTCTAAGCCAGTATATTTTTACAAACTCTCTGTTATAGACTCTGATTTTTTCTACTGTTTATGTATTTAAATCACAATTTTGACATTATATCAGCAGACAGTATGATTATAATCATTTAAGTAATACAATCTTTTTGTTGCAGGCAAAATTTCAGGCAACTAAAATATTAAAGAGTGACTTGGCATAGTTTAAATCAAATGATTAATAGGAAAGACAAGTAAGTAATATAAATCATACATTTAAGAAATCCTAGAATAAAATATGATAGGATACTTTCCTTATTATACCTAGTGAAAGGAAAAAAAACCCTAAATCTAAATATTTCTACATATGTATGAGTGCACATTCATTATTATGAAAGTATAAGTCTATATTAAAAAGAGATTTACTTAAAAAACCTTTGGTAAAGATAATCTGAGGTTATGTGATAAGAATGCCTAATAAAGATTGTAAGCAAGCAGTATTCTGCCGACAAAGCCACAGGGGTGGGTCTGTGATGGCATTTTCTTACAGCTTTTTTTTTTTTTTTTTTGACATGTAAACATTCAGTTACACAAGCATTCAAATGTAATAAGCAAGTAGAATGTTATTGCATTTTACAGTATAAATATTCAATACATTCTTCTTCTTTTGGCGAAATTAATAATAATATGACCACCTTAGGGGATAAAATCTACCCCTCAATAAACTGGACTCTTTGCTTTGTCCTAAAGAGAATTTCCCCTAACGTATCACATAAAAATTTACTAAATCAATTCAAGCTGATTACATTATCAGCCCTATTGTCAAACAGTCAGTGCTCCTTGAGGTTATCAGCATGGTCTGGCCTTCAATTTAGAAGACAGGAATTCAGAGACACGTTGACGTTGCCTCTCAAAACTCACATGTGGCTCCTAAGTGAATCTCATCATATTTCACATTGTGAGAAATATACGATCAAAGATAAGAGAAGCAGGGTAAGAAAAGGACAGTGGTCAAAGGAACCTCTTAAAAGCCATAATTTTGGTGGTTCTAACACAAAACTGTTTAGTGACAAAAGCAAATGAACCATACATTAAGGATGAGCTGTAGTGATCACTGGCTTAAGAATTTCTAGTCACAAAAAAAGAATCACTTTCATGATCATTCCTATTCAAGTAAAATAAATTTAATTGGAATTCCTGAGGAATAGTTTGCAATTCAAAACATATCTCCGTAATTTTTTATTTCAGTTCTGATGTTAAAATTAAAGATTTAAAAAAAAAATCACTAGAAATCTGAACATCACAATTATGAAAAAGATAACTGGAATAAGGGAAGGGTATATTGGAGGATATAATTATATTTGCTCTATTTGGGTCTTAAACTAGGTGTTAGGTATATAGGAATTCATTATATTATTATTTATACCTTTTTGTAGACTTAAAATACTCCATAATTTAAAAGTACATACTTGTGGGAGATTTAAAGAAAGGTTTAAGAAATTTCAATCCAAAATACTTAGTTTACAAAATGGCAACTTGCCATGACTAAGCTAGGTGTCTCTCCTTAAATGAAACATGTTCTAACTTATTAAGTATGGCTTGGCAGTTGGCAAGCAAGTGTTTCACTGGCTAATAAAAGTTTGAATGAAGATCCCAGGCGTAGATTCTGCATATTTTTAGCTCATAGAGACAATGTTTTTTCAGTGATTGTCTTTGAAAGTGTGGTGTAAATGTCACCTTGATGATATGAAAATGTCTCCTGCAATCTGTAATTTCAGTTGCAGAAGGATTATGAGAATAACGAAACTGTGGTTTCACAATCTTTTCAAGCTTTTTACTCTTTTGAAAATAAACTAAACAAAGCTGCACAATTTTATTTCGTATGCTCTTATTCGCCATCGTCAGGCAAAAGGGACCTGGATCTAAAAAAGAAAGAGAATTTGAACTGTGTTTTTTCACAGCTTTCATCCTCTAAAGTCAAAGTCGATTTTGATAGTTGTGTTGGATATTAGAATAAACATGACAACATTTGTAAGATGAAAAGTGGGACAGTACTGAAAATGTTATCTTCTAGAAGAAATCCAGTTTGTATTACAATGTCCCGGTAGTGTGGAAAAGAAAAATCTTAAGGTAATACTGTGGGACAATAATGGTTTTTAAAACATAACCCCAAAATGCCTTTCCAGCATATCCCACCTGCAATTTCTTTAGAAAAATATTGAAGTTTAGTTGTCTGTCACCACTTATTAGCTATGGGCCCATATGTGTTTTCAAATGAGCCCTGATCACTGGTCACCGTAGATTCTGAATTCTGATGGTTGCAAATTAAATTTGGGCTTGTTCTAACTTATGTAATTTACAACTTAAATTCTTTACAGCCTAACAAAAAAAAATTGTGCATTTCCCTCCCTAAAAACATGAGTTGTATAAAGCAACAGAAAACATACTCTTCAATACATGGGAAAAGAATGGCTGCCCTTCATAGTCACAGGCAATATGGAAATGATAGGATGGAGATTTCAAGGCTAAAAGCACCTGTGTGTTGGCAGACTCGCCCAGGAAAAACTATGTGACAGCAAATACCACACTAAAAAAAGCCATTCAACCAGATGAAAAGTGAGACAAACATAGAGATTAAAAGTTACAGGAATGCAGAAGTGAATGGGATGGAGCATAATCTGTGCAAAAATGTGGAAGTCCTTGGGAACAAAGGCCCATCAATCCTACATGATTCAAAGTGAAATGTGTATTTGGTAACAACTTTAAAAAAAAAAAACTCATAATTTATGTGTTTCTAAGGAAAGGTTAATAGCAGATGAAGAACAGAAACTATCCTGTAGTTTGATGGCCTTTCCTCTATTTTCGTATTTCTTATCTTTTTCTTGTGTTCGTTCTTCTCAGTGCCAGCTGAACAGGTGACGGAATCTAAAGGTCAGTGCTCGCCTTGGCGGTCAACACCCTGATGCGGGCAGAGTTGCAGGTCTTGCAGAGGATGTGCCCATCCAAGGGGTAGCAGCCTTGGTTATCTCCTTCAGACAGGAGACCACCACAATCCTAGAACAATAAAAACAGATGGAAACGATGTAAGTAAAAACGATGTTACGCACACACGTGGAGAACAAATGATTGAGCTTTCTATTCAAGGCTGCCATAATGTGGCCACTAGCTTTCCTGCTTTACATTCCGCTAATCCCCTGTATCCTTTCTCCCACTATATAACATAGTATATCTCAAATGTAATTGAATTAGAGATTGGGGACATAAATATAAATGAAGTAAAATACTCCTCCTAAGGTCACTTCATATGAAATACAGGTGTAAGAAGAGAAGAAGCCACGGATCTCAGCTCCCATGTGGAAGTTTGCTGCCCCCACTCAAACAACAACCAGAGAAGATAAGAATATCCCTAACCACCCATTCATTTTTACCCTTTTCCGTTTGTTGAAGGATCTCTCAAAATGCCTGCACAGGTGCACGCATGGAACGTTTTGGCCATTTCTGGGAGAGAGCAAGGGTAGACTGATTTCTGTCAAGTGGGCAGGCTACCAGTGGCTTCTGTGTATTTACTTCAATTGTTGTAAGAAAATAAAATCCTAAAGTCTGTGGGGAGAAGTGGTTTGCTTTACTTTCTAAAGGAGATTTACTGTGTAGAGCAATGACAGCCAGTGTGGGGGACAGGCCTCCTGAGCACCACCCGTAGTTTTGCCACAGCCTGCCTCAATGCACACAGGCTCATTGCCATTCTGAGGATAATTTCTGACTTTTCTACCTTACCAAGCTGTTGAGAGTATCAAAGAAGATAATGGATGTAGGTGTACTTCAAAAACAAACAAACAAACAAACAAAAAAAAAATGCAAAGAACTGCGTAATTGTAAAGGAATATGCTACTGTTGACAGCTCCACTTAGGGTCCATTCTGAAAAGTGTTATATAACAGTTAAATGCTGGCCTCTGTCTTTGGAGAAAGTAGAAGTTTCTTTGGAAAATAAATACATGGTACTTCATCAAGAAGTGTGTGTTTGCTAACTTTAGTATGCACTCTCAAAGGCCACAACAGCTATGAACCTCACCTCTGCTGTCTACCACGGTGGCAAGGAGGTCAATGGAGTTCATGTCTTCATTTGACATATAATGAAATTTAAGTTAACAGGGCATCCAGAACACAACAGCAGCGATGGTTATACTCTGCAGAAAGTTTGGCTTTACCAAAAAGAATATGCAGATACACTGCAGCTTTTGAGGCATCCAGGAAACTCAGCAACTAGTAGTGCATACTAATCAATAAATAAATTTCCGTGACTCTGAACAAGAAGTTTTAACCAAAGCCTCCAAGCCAAAGTTAAAGATTCGATATAATAATAACATCATTTCTCACTAATTTAGTATTTTTGCAATTTACAAGGTCCTTTAATATACAATTTTGTATTTCATTCTCACAGTCATATTTGGAGGAGTCAAGGATCTGAGTCCTTTTTTTTCCTGTGAGGAAACAGACTGAGGGAGGCAAACTGACTTATTCAATAGCACTTGCTTTGAATACTAGTGTCAGATCTAAAACCCAGGTCTTATGAGTTCAGGCAATAAAGCCTTTCTGAGATTTAGTAATTGTTACATCTACATAAACCTAGCACAAATGCGCCTTTCACTGCCTGCCATAGACTGGCAGGGCGGGGTGTCAACCGGACCTCACATCGGTAGCAGTGAACATGGAAGTCTCGATCCAGAGCCACGATACGGACGGTCTCCTCCTGTCCCGGAGCTGGCATGATAGGTTCCTTGCACACAGAACATCGCGGGGCAAATTTCCTAAAAACGGAGAGAGAGTTCTGGTTAGATACTGAGCATAGACACTGAAGTGGGACACAGAGGTAAAAGGAAAAGGTGGAAACTGAGAGTCAGGCTATCTGCTTCCTCATCTGGAAGTTGAGGGAGTTAGTCTCGGGGATGGCTGAGGTTCTTCCATTAAGAGATGGTAACTACTGTGATATTTGGTAAGGGGAGAGAGTGAGCATGTGAACTGCTTAGGCGTGAAGAGCATCTAGCAACTCTTTGCCGCATGGTGTGGGGTATGAAATTCAGCTTTAGATAGATTCTGAATGCAAACCCTGTGCTTGGGCTAGGCTAATTTGAGGAGAGAACAAAGTCCTGTCCAGCCCCTATTTCTTTCTGACTTTTGCTTCTAGACTTTTCTATGTGCTGCTCAGGTCCTAGAAAAATATTCTGAGGTTGCTATCTTCGCTTTGTTCCCACTTTTTAGAGCTTATTTCTTGTAAATTTGTCTTGACTTCTAGGAATTGACATAAGACGACTCAGATACACAGCTTTTCAAAAGGGCAGAGGTTAGTGAGCTTAAATATACATTACTCAAAACTGAAAATGGACAAGTCCGCGTTTCCTACATTTTTTATTGTGTTAAATTTTTGCTTAAAAATAAAAAGTTCAAAAGCTATCAAATTCTTTATTCCTTAAAGGATTTTGGCACTGCTGAAGGGTGCATGTATACTAACATACATACACATACATGTAGATACGCATATGCATATGTTTTTGAGGCTGCTGGTAAATAAGTTTAATACTTATTAATTTCTTAGTATTTCTTAATATGATCAATGGTACCTAACTGGTTTTTTTTCTATGACAGATTAATTGGCTGAAAATATAGGCCATGTGTCTATCTGTATCTTCTGGAAGCTGGAGGTGGTATTGTGAAGGTATGAAATGATACTTGATTTGAAATGGACATGGATAACAATTGAAGAGATTTAAAAGAAAGAAAAGCAGATTATGCGACTCAGTTTTTTCATGGTAATGGTTTTAAGATAAATGATGTTAAAAATTTATCTATTTGTAGTGAGACTTAAAAAGAAATAATGATAGTAATCTAATACTTTGCAGAGCAGTTTATGGTTGTCAAAGCAGTTTTACATACATTATACTCTATATGTACATATTAATTTTCCTGGTAGCACCCAAAAAGCATCTGTATGGCTGCAATCTAAATAAATATGAATTAAGCAGCAGATCAATTGATTGCTATGAAAGAAAAATTAAAAGGATCCTGGTACCACTGCAGCAGCAATCAGAGTTGTTATAATTGGTATTTTATGCAAGAAGTTTATATTCAGTGGGAAAAAAAAGTTGCTCTGGACTACCAGATTATTTTTAAATCTGGGTCATCAGTGGTGAGGTAAGCAGGCTTCTGGGATCAACTGCAAAATCTCCCTTCCCCAAACTCTTTGAGGGCCGAAGTACGTTTTCTTTATAAATGTATCCATAAGCCTTCACCCATTTCCCCAAATAGAATTATTTACTCTTCTAAGATAAAAATTCTATCACCAAATTTATTTATTTTGGTAGTAATTCTTTGCATAGATTTATGCACTACTAAACTCTAAGCTCCCACAAAGTAGGACTTTGCTCTATCTCTGAGTCTCCAGAAACGACGACTGTTACTGGTGCAGAAATAAGAAAGTTGGGCTAACTCTTTTGAAATGAATCTGCCATCTATCTCTATAAAAAAGATATTAGCTGGGCTTTATGTTCAGTCTCAAGGTTCTTCCTCTTTAGGAAGACATAAACTGTATTCTTGCTGAGTACTGATTCTTCCCTACCAATTGGCCTCATTTCCACGATGAGAAAAAGCAAAGTGAAGAGGCGGGAGGTGGTTCTCATCGTCCCCGCAATGTTCCTCGGATTGCAGTTCGAGAGGGTTCGCAATCCCAGGTGGTCCATTTCAAGGCTTAGCTCACTGAGTGGACGATAATCATAAAAATAAATTTGATGAAAACACTGTCGATGATTAAAGCTACCATTTATTGACTGTTTATTATATGCCAAGCCCTGTTAAGCGCTTTACATACTTGACATTATTTTCTCCTGACGGCAACATCATGAGGAAGTATTTTTATCATTTCTGCTTTACAGTCAACAGAGCCAAGGCTCAGACAGGGATGATCTTAGTCATCTTGTATTCTGGCATGTTTCTGGCAATCAACAAATGGATGCTGATTAAATACATAAATGAATGAGGGTAATATTCCTGATAAGAAAGCACAGACAGGGGAATAAAGCCTCAACACACAGAAAGAGTCAGTTAAATAAATCCGCTTTCTGGGTTTTCTCACTGGGAATACAAGAATAAGAAAAGACTTCCACTACAGACCTGAGAGGGAGTTCTATATATTTCTGCATTATTTCTATGAATTTATATATATATATATCTCCTACTGTAAAAATGCAAAAATGATATAAGATGGCTATTGTAAGGTTTTACACACACACACATACACACATACATACACATACATACATACATGTATATTTCTACACCAGTCAGACTGTGGTAAGTCCTATCTACAGCAGATGTAAAAATCTCTATAAAACACAGAGATTAAGATATAAATCCAAACATGAGGGGTGTAGATCAGGGAAGTTTCCTTTGAGGAAATGGTAATTGAGTTGGGACTTTAAAGATAACGATTTAGGTGAAATGAGAAAACGTGTATGTGTGTGTTAAGGTCAGGGAGATAGTCTTCTAGAAAACAGAGTCAGTAGTGGTTGCAGTAGTCATCTGAAATGACATCTGTGTAAGTTTGCATGTCCAGTAGGCTGGAGGATATGAACCAACATTGACTAAAGGTGATTATGTAGAGGATGGTCCATTAACAAGGCTTCACAAACAGTATTCCAGAACCTTGTTACTCAAAGTGCAGGACATGGCCACCGGGAAGCTTGACAGAAATGCAGAATCTTAGGTCCCACTCCAGATCTGAATTAGAACCCAAAGTTTTACAAGATCCCTCTATGGATTATAGGCACATTAAAATTTGGGAAGCACTGGTTTAAATGCAGACTAAGGCTGGATGCAGTGGCTCATGTGTGTATCCCAGCACTTTGGGAGGCTGAGGTGGGTGGATCACCTGAGGTCAGAAGTTCAAGACCACCCTGGCCTTGATGGGGGTGAAACCCCATCTCTACTAAAAATCCAAAAATTAGCCAGGTATGGTGGCAGGTGCCTGTAATCTCAGCTACTTGAGAGGCTGAGGCAGGAGAATTGCTTGAATATGGAAGGAGGAGGTTGCAGTGAGCTGACATTGTGCCACTGCATTCCAGCCTGGGCCATGAGAGTGAGATTCCATCTCAATCAATCAATCAATCAAAGGCAGACTAAGCAAGTGAGATAAATCCCTTCCTATGGGTCTCCTGTATCTCAAGATAATCTCCACTCCCAGGCTGCTCTAGCTACAGCAAAGCAAATCTCCCTGAACGTAGAGAACTCTTTCCTAACTCCACGCCCTGGCTTTTTGTCTGAGTTGTTCCCTCTGCCAGGAATCTCCTTGTTTCCTACTTAAAACACTCTTGAAATTCTCCTTCCGCAATGCCTATTCTGACCATAGAACCAGGTGATCTAACTTGGACAGGGCAAGCCCTTATATGTGCCTGTCTCATGGAGTTCAACCCTTTCTCCCTGTCTGCACACTTTCTCTGCCCTCCTCCTGGCAAGCTGCTTGCTGACAGCGACTTCTCTATATATATCTGTGCAATTTCTCTCCTGTATCTCTCTCCTTCAGCATTTAATGCGGCAATTGGCACACAGAGGGTTCTTTATAAATGTGAGTTGAACCGAATTAAAATACATTTTCTAAAGGTTCACAAAAAGGGATCCATTCAAAAAGACCACAAACAAGGACCCAGAAAACTGTCTGGAGCAGGAATATCCCTTTATCTGCCCTCTCCTTGGTCTTTCAGCAATCAGCCAATGCTGGACTTTTAGCTGCTTTGTATTCTAGTAATTTTAAGGCTCATAAATAAGAGTTCTGTAAAACAGTTTCTGACTTCCCTTTAGGAAATGGGGAAAGGATCAAATAACTTCTCTCACTATATACCTACCAATCATGAAGACAGTATTATTATTACTTTTAATTTATGTTTGAATATGCATTGAACTAGTGGGTAAGGTTAGCAGGGTATTTTAATTTTTCCCCCCTTTTAGATGCTCTAGTCGGCTTTTTGGGAGCTTTCAGACTCACACACTTATGTCACCAGTCACTGGTCTTTAATTATGCTCCCTACCCCTAGACAAGAAAGATAAATGACATAGATATAAACTTACATTTGTCAAAATTGATTTCCTGTTTTAATTGAGGGGTGTAATATATCAGTCTTTTCCAGCAACAGAAACATGTGTGCTCTGATTATATCTATCAGTCTTTCTTGGATTAGGGTAAGTCTAAGACAGGAGAGAAACAATGACAACATATTCCCCATTGATATCTTTTTCACTTCCCTTAAATAGATGCAGGTTTTTTTTTTTTTTTTAATGTGTAATTGCAAGCTAAAAGTATCAATACGTGAAGTACAATTTATGCTGTGACCGCCATTTAAAAGTGAGTCTTTCCTTGTTTAATTCAGGTTGTAAATTTCTGCCTCTGGGATTTTTTAATTCATTCAACCTCACGTCTTTTGGTGAGGTTTTCACTTTCTTTGCTACTTGGAAAGTGGTCAGGAAATTCATTTTTAAAATATGAGTCTCAGGTCTCCAAACTGCTTGTGGTAAGTGTTTCCTGGTTGTTGACAATCAACACAGTGGTGAAAATTAACCCATAAGACTGCACACTTGGAGGCCACAGAATGGATACCCAACTTGGTGAGCAATACAAGCTCCATCTCTTTGATAGCCACAAAGGCTGTCTTCAAAGCCACTGCTCAGCAAACACATACAGAAACCCGAGTCCACCATTTACAGATCACATCTATAGGTTGAATACAGTCCTTAAAAATATAAAACAAATGTTGGCTGGGCACAGTGGCTCATATCTGTAATCCCAGCTCTTCGGGAGGCTGAGGTAGGTAGATCACTCGAGGACAGGAGTTCAACACCAGCCTGGCCAACACGGCAAAACTTCATCTCTGCTAAAAATACAAAGATTATCTGGGCATGGTGGCACATGCCTGTAGTTCCCAGCTACTCAGGAGGCTGAGGTAGGAAAGCTGCTTAAACCTGGGAGGCAGAGGTTGCAGTGGGCTGAGATCATGCCACTACACTGCAGCCTGGGCAACAGAGTGAGACCTTGTCTAAAAGTGTGTGTGTGTGTGTGTGTGTGTGTGTAACAAACATTATCAACCGATTAACTAACAAACTGGCCAAATAAAAATAAGCAAAATACAAAGCTGTATCATTTTCACAAAGACCCCAGCTGTAACACAGAAAAGAAGGACCTAGAAATGAGAAAAATGCAGCAGCGGAGACATATCTTTTTGGGCCCATGAGTAAATGGCCTTGATCTTGAGGCATCACTTTTTAATCTTCCTGAAAAGAACATTTACATTCATTCATTTTATTAAAAATAACTTGAGAGAGAGAAGACTTGGGTGGAAGAAAAGGTTAGGGAAGCGCGTGAATATGTTGACAATGGCATGAAGCTGCCTCTGAGTATGTGAGAAGCTTGTATTAATAAAAGAAACTGAATGGTTTTTTCTGTGTTTGTCTCCTGTAGCTTCTTATCAGTAGAGTGGTAGGGATGTAGAGATTAGCTCTTGAGAAAACTCTGGGTCCTCACAGCTGAGAGAGCTTCAGGAGAAGGTGTGGTCTAATGACTGAATTGAAGAGCTCAAACAATTTGAGCAACGGCCAAATATTACACGTTTTGTTCATATTTAGGCCAGGACCCTGTTTCTTTCTAATACATACACACTATGGCTGAGCCAGCTTTTTCATGGAGCTACCCAGAGATGCAATGGACAAGCTCTGGGGAAGCCTTGATCAGCGGCCAGGCTGGATGACTGCATGAATTGTCTGATATTCATTCTGGCATTTGATGAGGAAATCAATAAGCTCTTTTAAAGGCCTCGCTAAATCCTGAAATTCTATAGTTCTGAGAGAGAAGAATGTATGCCCAGATGCCAGGCAGTAAGAACAGACTCTAAAAGGACAGGCGGGGTGGCAATGAGAGAGTAGGTTGCCTACTTGTGGAAGTCCTCAATGCAGTGAATGAGCCCGCCAGCATCCACGGTGAATGGGATCCCATCCAAGCTGCGGTGGCACATCACGCAGGTGAAACAGTGAGGATGGTAGGCCTTCCCGGTGGCTCGAAGGATCCTCTCCATGATGGGCTTGGAACATACATTGCACTGCTCCAGAGTATTCTGAGGAAAGAAACAAAAACAGCCTTAGACGGGGACAGAAGGGAGTCCATACCGCATGACAAGCAGCTTCACAAAACAGCGTGTCTCCGGTCCCTGTCACACTGCTCTTCGGAAGGCATTTATCACCATTTACAAATCACGTCTACAGCTTTAAAACAGCCCTTGAAAGTATAAAACAGATGTTATCGGCCAATTAACTAACAAACTGGCCAAAGAAGTGTATTATAGAGAGAAAGAAACACAATTGGATGGGTCAAGTGGCTTTTCTAGTATCATTCAGGTAGGAGGTGGCCAGCCCAGAACTGAGAACACATGTTTTCTGACTTCTATCCTTGTTTCTTTTCTCGTTTCCTAGAGCAAGGGTGACAGCAAACTTCTCTGTATAGTCCCATATAGTAAATGTTTCTGGCTTTGGTGTAACAACTAAATGTTGCTGTTATCGCTGGGAAGCAGCCATAGACAGCATGCAAACACACAGGCATGACTGTGTTCCTGTAACATTTTCTTTACCAAAAACGGACAGTGGGCTGGATTTGACCCATGGGTATAGTTTGTTGACCTTTGAACTATACCACTCAGCTTCTCCATTTGAAGAATGATTCACCATTACATCTAAAATTCATTATCAAAGACACAGAGTGATCACTAAGGCCCCTAACTTTTTACAGAGTTGCCTGTCAGATGACTGGGACAGGGCAAGCTAGATGCAGAACCCAAATCAGAGCTCAGCGTAATAAATTAGGCTTCCGAGCACTTAAAGCCTTGATTCACACTCCATCTCCAAGTTTAGAGTTCATAAACTCTTGATAGAAATGTAGAATGTACAAGGGAGCTGGTTTGGAAGAGCGAATTAAGAAACTCATTTATCTGGTCTTAAAAATATGCTAAGCTTTAAAAATACATAGCATCCCTTAAAAGAGGTATTGCTTGGCTAGGCGCAGTGGCTCATGCCTGTAATCCCAGCACTTGTGGGAAGCTGAGGCTGGTGGATCACGAGGTCAAGAGATCAAGATCGTCCTGGTCAGCATGGTGAAACCCTGTGTCTACTAAAAATACAAAAATTAGCTGGGTATGGTGGCGTGCGCCTGTAATCCCAGTTACTCAGAAAGCTGAGGCAGGAGAATCACTTGAATCCGGGAGGCAGAAGTTGTAGTGAGCTGAGCTCATTCCACTGCACTCCAACCTAATGACAGAGCAAGACTACATCTCAAAAAAAACAAAAACGAAAAAGGACACACCACTTAATGAGTTAGGTCTCAGAAGGATCGGCTGTTATCTTTCCACCCTCCCCTATAATCCCATGCTCTTACTAAACCACCACGTTTCAGATGTAAAATGCTATATTCCAACTGAGATTGAGTTTACAATCTGGAATAAACCCGGGATATGGATCTTATTAGAAAGATGCAGAACTGAATGGGATGTGGAAATTCAGGAGTAACTGCTCTCTTACCATGAGGATATATAAATGGCTATGTAGCAAGAAGTTCTCTATGTAGGTAACTAGTATCCTCATGTCTAACCTATAGCAATGACCTCTCATTTGGCTTCTTCGTTTGCCTCTCCTTATAATACTCTCCTTGCCTCTGTCTCCAATGACTTCCAGTTTTCTTTTTAAACACAGATGTGATCAAGTACAAATACCTTTCTGGATAACAAATCTCAAAGGCTCCACAATCTAAAAAAAAGCCAATTCTTTACATGGTATCCAACCCCCCATCCCCCTTCTAAGCTCAGCATCTCATAACATCCCAGACTACTCACTCTTGTACAAACCTATGTGAAACTCCCATACTTCTGTGCCTTGGCTAATGCCTAGATGTATCGCAAATTGCCATTCTGATCTTTCAAGGTACAGGCCAGAAGACCATTCCCCAGTGAAGCCTTCCTCAGTGGTCCCACCAGGAATGAACTGCTTCTTTCTCTCCCTTTCCTGAGCACTTTATTTACTTTGCTGACAATACTTCAAGTGTGCACTTTATTTAAATTATTCGTGCACATGTCTATTCCCTCTACCAGACTTTAATTTTATTTGGGGAAGAGACTATGCCTTAAGAATGTATTTCTCTGTCCCATATTGCACCCAGTATACTATCTGAAATAGAAATAAGCCTGAGACGAATGTGTGCAAAAACAATGAATGAAGGGATAGTGTTTATATCCCACTCTGGCAGCACAGTGCTGGCCTGACTCCCTTAACTCCGGAATCCATCCCAAGATGAATTGGTAAATCCATCATCATCCTTCCCTCAGAGCTGTGGTTGCCTGAGGTTCTGAAATTGCGTAGTATGCCTCTGGTCACAGTCTAAACGCATGGAAACTATTAACCTATTTTTTTTTCCCATTTTGAAGTGGTGAAATTAAAATAGCAGAAGAGGACAGGGTAAGAGTCTGGAGATGATGATGGTTTGAAGAATGAGGGCCTGTTCCTTTTCTACCCTGACAATCTGAGCTAATGTGGCTGGAAATTGTCTTCCCAGGACTTACGTTTGCTCCTCTGCGGGTTTCTATCTTTTTTTTTTTTTTTTTAAGTCATAATGGAGTTGAACAGAAACTGTTTGACCAGAAAATGTTTTTGTTTGCATTGGGGCTTGGCTGCAAGATTCAGCTCATTTACTCAAAACTAGCAACAATATAGAAGGCTCGGTTTCTATGGAAAGACTTTGTGGTCTATAGAAGCTGTCTTCAAAGGACAGATAATGCAAACGTTTCTGAAACAGAGGGGAAACAAGTATAAAATGTGCTTAAAATCAGCCTGTTGCAAAATGTCCCCAAATTGGAAAATAATGTTTCCAAGAATGCAGTTGACGGTATCCCAGGCAAGTGAGTGATGTAGAAGGACATGTTACCTTTCACTAGCCTGTACTTTTTACTGCAGTCTTCCCCTTTCAGTCTCCAGTGGGGCACACTAGCAGCCTTTGAGAAAGGAAAGAAACTCACAATGTCAGGGAGGAGGGGGCTGGGAGTTTCCCGAGTCCAAGGTCTCATTCCACAGGTGAGCAGAGAGACTTTGAAAACAGATCTGCTGGACCTGAGTTGCGGGGGGCATGGGAGGCAGAGGTGGGACTGGTACCCCAGTTACCTGACTCCTATGAATTCAGAGAGGAAGCTAAGGAATTCATTATGCAGCCATGAAAAAGGAAAGTTGCCAGGTGAAGAATGTGAATTATCCTTCTGGCTTTGTCAAAATCCGCTATATGACCTTGGGTAAATAATTTCTTCCTTCAATCTCAGTTTTCTCATTTGAAAAATGATGATTAATTCAAACTCTGTAATTTTGTTAATCTGTGATAAATCAATATTAACAACGATAGGAAAAGGTACATGTTTACATTACTAGAAATATACAAAAACAACTGATAACCCCTTACCAGAGAAAGGGGCGCTCATTTGCTGGAAACCTGGACTACATTACCTTTACTACGCACCTCCACTGATAATTCCAGAAACTGCTAATGGTAGAATTCTAAGGATCAAGAAGGATATTTTTGTGTTATAGATGATTATTTTAAAGCCAGACAAAAAGATGCACTCTTCATATAAACATTGGGTTCATCTGAACTAAGTTAACATGAAATGGCTGACAAATAAAATGGTTTTGAAGAAAAAGAAAGTCTTCAAGCAAATAAATCAAAGAGGGATGTCTCTCAATATGTCTATTCAAATCACTTTTTTTTGTTTTTGGGGGGGTCTAGTAGGGTTGCCAGGTTTGATAGCTGAGGATTTAAGAGGAAAGAGCACCTTCCAGCTTACGAACCTTCAACATCAGCACTGTGCTTTGTGACTGGACTCCTGATCCAGCTCTATCGCTGTCTCATGGACTCCTCCTCCTAGCTGCCACACTGAGCTTTCTGCCACATCTTTAATAAGCAACATTCTTTTATAAGCCCAGACTATCTTAACACCCTACTTTGCCTAGAGAATGCCTACTCATTCTTCAAAGTGAAACTCGAATGTCACCTCTTGTGAAAAATCTTTCCTAAATCTTTTTCTGTTGTATTCCAAGCAAAATAAGGAACTTCTTCCACTCCCATAGGATTGTATTATGCGTCCCCTATGACACTGAACACAATGTACTTGATTTAGTGGTTTATGTCAACCTCTATGTCTAAACTGCGATGGCTCTTCCCTCCTCCCATGAAGCCATAGTCTGAGGTAGTGTTTCCTAGGAAACAAGTTCTGAAACAGATTTGCACACAGTTAGTTATGAAGACGTGTCCTTGCAATCAACACCTGTGGGAAAGTATAGGAAGTCCTTATACTTCTTAAACTTCCTATTCCTATTGTGGATACTCTATCTACAGTATTCACAATACTAAGCTTCCTTGCCCAGGGACTACAAAGTACATAACACAAAGTAAATAATTGGTAATCAGCTGTAGAAGGCCTTTGGCCAAAGCTGAATGAAGAATCCAAATGTTAATCATTTTGCAGCAGGCACTGTTTGAGGATTTTTTTTTTCCATAAAAAATGTTTTAGGCTACTCCAGTGCAAGTATGCTTAAAGTGAGAATATGTAAGAGTAGCAGAGAAAAGCAATTTCTGTTGCTAAAAGTCACAGCTTATCAACTCTTCTGAAATGTTGGCAACACAATTGTGATTAAAAACAACACACTCAGTGAAACTAAAAATTAAATCACAAATAAACTTTGTATAGAAAACTCCCAAATGCAACTGTTTTAAAGTCAGGGAAACAATGGGGTAGTATTTTTTTTCTATCCTTGGATATTTTATAATAACTTGTAACTCACAGGCAGAAGAGCTAAAGAATCACTTGAATATAAATGAAGTATACAGGTAAAATAAACATGAACTACTAATGAGATGATAGAGAAATAAGAACATTACCATTATTCACATATTATATAGATGTATGTAAGTCTTCAATTTTGAGTATTTAAAATTAAGATATGTAGTCTTCATTTACATAAGTAATTGATGATTCAGAAGACTATAAAGTGATTACCGCCATTTAAAAATGTTAACATTTTTATTTTATAAAATTAAAATGTGATCTTATATTCATCTTTATCTTTTTAAGGTACAAAAACAATATTGTAAAACAGGAAAGACTCTTGGAAAGATAAGGAGTGACAGCTCACGATCTAGATACAGTTTTGGTCTTGTTGAGATAAGGACAAACAGAAAAAAAGAGTTAGAAGACATTCAGTCTTCAAAAGTCTTTACAGATTACACTAGCACAGGAATTTTCACCTCCTTTCACTTGGCCATTCACCCACAATCCTTTCTTCATGGAAACAATTTATCAAAAAAAAAAAACAAAAAAAAAAAACCACATACAAAAGAGCCCCAGATCACCTCAGGCTGAAGGGCATGAAGGATGGAACCTGTGGGGGATGCACACTGTACTATCTGAAAACCTTCATTCTAGTCCAACTGCTGGATTCAAAAATCTAAGGTATAGATAGGGAACACAGCTAGTGACAGATTGGGAGTTAGAATACAGGTCTCCTAATTCTCTGTCCAATGGAGACTCTCTCTGCTATATCACATTATACCGATTCTATACATCAGCAGACACACTCTGTATTTCAAATAGAAAGAAGACATTCAGGCTTACTAAATGCAAGTTACATGCAAATAAACAGAGAAAACGTATTAAGATCTTAAGACAGTTTTTCTGCTAAACTCCTACAGGATAAGAGAGAAAATTCATTGCTGGATCCCAAGCATCTACAACAGTATGCTTGTATAAAATTAATGCTCCACAAATATCAGTTAGTTAATGAATTAATATGTTCCAGGTAAGTACTTGTTATAAAATAAGTTTTTGTTTTTCTATTTAACCATGCAAAACCATTCTCTAGTCTAGAGCTTCTCGATTGGCAGGTTAACAGAAAATGTACTTCAGGTGGGTTCCAGGTGCACCATATTTGGGAGGATTCAGGGGGACCAGAGGTGTCCAGAGTTCCTGAGTGGTTGCATTGGGACAGGAGAGATCTCATCCACTTACTCCAGCGTGCTGAATGAATGCCATCATTTTCCACGTGAACTGTGATGTGAAAAAGGTTGGGAGGTACAGCTCAAGTGTGGGTAGGTGTTCCCAACAGAATGGCAATGTGGCACAGTAAAAAAGGAGCAGGGCTATGACTCAGCCAATTTTTCTTGAAATGCCAGTGCCATTACTTGAACTTAAAATACTGCTATTGCCTAACTTAATTATGGAATACAAACTTATTCTATACCTTGATTCTGGTAATCAAGAATGCTTTCCAAATGATGGCAGTACTTTTGGGTTTCCTCTGCAGGTGAAGATATCATTTTCCCTTGGTAGTTCTAATGACCCTATACTACATAGCCTTTCAACAGCTTCTGCCTTCCCGAGAGACATGCACTTTTTATTAACATTTCTCTTGCTCTTTCTAATGTCCTTTGCCTATATCTTAATCTAAGTCGATATTTGTATCTGCATGTAATGTGTGTTTTGAAACAGACTGAAAATAATAATTGCAAGCTTAATAGCATCCCACCCCTATGACTGTGATTTTTCAATTAGAATCAAAATTCTTCTTTTACAGATGAAATTTTGCCTGATAGATAGGAAAGGTTTTGAAACAATGTATTAGATAGCATCAAATCTCTAAACGGTATTTTCTTTTGATGTCATGACATACCCCCCAACCCCTGAAAATGACAGCTATGAAACACATACCAGAAAATTCAGTAAAATAATTTCCATTTTTTTTTTTTTTTGTTAATCTTTTGGAGTAAAACTTTTTGCCTCCAGTGCCTATATTGCCTTAGCTTTCTTACAAACCCCTTTAAAAAAAAACTTTTCATAGGCCTCTCTAAAGAGTAGAGCTGGCTTCTCACTTATTCTAATATTGCAGAAAGCCTAAAGAGTGGAAAAAAGTGTTGAACACTCTGGCAGGTACAGGGGAAGAGAGAGAAGACAGAGATGCCATCCCTGCCCTCAAAGGTTCCCACTGCAATGAGACAGATGGACACAACTATTAATATCTGATTCTAGGCAAAGGGCATGACAAATTGCCATCAATGAGGCACGAGTAATGAATGATGGGAACACAGAGAAGAGGGCAATTACTTACGAATGGTGTGAGCAGGCAGTATGGTATGGTGGTGGTCCGTGACTCTAAGACTCTATTGCAGTTGAGATTTGATTTGGGACTTAAAAAAAAAACTTACTTTAACCCACTTTGGAATGAATGTTGTGTTACAACAAGAGTCTTCAATATCTAATATTCTTTGAGAGGAGTCACAGATAAGCTTGCACTGAAACAAATTCATTTCACAGGAAGAATATTGGAACAAAATCTGTGAATTGAGCAGTGGAAGTTGATGACTGTGTGTCAGACCTTCATGTCATGGGCATAATGAACAGCTCACAGAAGACTAAGATTATCGTGAGATGGAAATAAAAGAATTGAGTTCCTTTCCTTCCAAGACAAGTGAAGGGGAACTCAATATTGCCAGACATGAACATCCGTGTTTTAACTAGCACAGAGAAAGCCTATGTGTTACTATTAATATAGAATTTAGAAAAACAATTTTTTTCTTATAAAATTTTCTGTTTGTATTTGAACTATACAAACTGGCTTTAAAATTAAGAAATATGCCCTAAAACCGTTAAGGAAGAAGCCAGCAGAAAGAACAAAAGGATCAGGGAAATTAGGCTGTTCTGTTCCATTTTGCCATGAGCAATAAATCACATTCTTTACAAAGTAAATTATGTCCTGTTTTTTATTCTTAAGCACTAGGGTTAGGACTGTGATCTAAGCTTGTGAGTAAATCAGAAAAGAAAATCTCAATTATAGAACATTTAGTTTATCTGTACCTTAGTGCCCAGGGAGGTAATATTTTACCTTAAAATGTGTAACCCATGTGGCATGCTAGGTCTTCCAAAACGCTTCTCTTAAATGTCTTCTAATCCTTAAAAAATGTGGGGCAGGGGAAAGGAGAGTGAGAGTTGATGATTGTGTGTCACACCTTTCATGCCATGGGCATACTGAACACATTAGAGAAGACTAAGACCATCGTGAGAGGGAAAGAAAAGAATTGAGTTCCTTTCCTTCCAAGACAAGTGAATGACAGATTTTGCCTTTACAATATAAAGTTATGTGAAGACTTATTAACTCAGGAATCAAAGGTCTGCCATATTATAGTAAGAGAATTATTGAAACATTAGTAAAATGGTGACCTATGTTCAAAAGCGAGGCAATTTTCTTGACCTTGCTGGCCTTTAGTTTCCTCATCTACTAAACATGATTGAAACGTCTACAAGCAAGAACACAGTCCTGACTATATAACAAATGTTAGTTTTATAAATTGTCTATACAAGGGAATTGAAGGGGCTAGGACATTTATTCAATTAACTTGTCATCCTTTAATCTTTTAATGTAACTACCACATTGAAGCACCATATTTCTATAATTCTTTTCCTTTCACCATTAATTCTTCTATATTTTATATCTGTCTTTTTTTTTTTTTTTTTTTGAGACAGGGTCTCACTCTTGTTGCCCAGGCTGGAGTACAGTGGCACAATCTCGGCTCACTGCAACCTCCACCTCCCAGGTTCAAGTGATTCTCCTGCTTCAGCCTCCTGAGTAGCTGGGAATACAGGCACACATCACCATGCCCAGCTAATTTTTGTATTTTTAGTAGAGATGGGGTTTCACCATGTTGGTCAGACTGGTCTCAAACTCATGGCTTCAGGCAATTCACCCATCTCACCCTCCCAAAGTGCTGGGATTACCGGCGTGAGACACCACGCCCAGCCATATTTGTCCTTTTAAAGAATAAGATTATCTAAGGAATTGTGTAATAATACTCTGGGATAATTGAATAATGTCATAATATAAAATGGGCTTCTAGATTGCTAAGTGACTTTCCCCCTGCTTCCCTGGAAATTTTGTGAAAAAGCTCTTCATCTATGTAAACCTTATTATACTACAAATCCATACATTTCTTACTTCTTCATAAAAAGCAATTTGTATTCCTTTATACACCAAAAATAAAAGCTGATACTTTGACTTGGTACAGTCCTTAAAGTTTACTAAATGTACACAAACAGGAGCCCATCTAATCTCCAGAGCAATCTGGTATAGGAGGTAGAATGGTAGAATTCTTTCCCCCATTACATGCCGCATAACTATATATGCAGCCAGGATTTGAACCTGTGTTTCCTAAAGTATAAAGAGAAAGGCTTCTTATTCTATTTCACACTGTCCTCCAGTTAGCAAGTTTCTCAGATATCTTTCTACCTTATTCCATATAAAGGCAATTATACAGACTGCAGGTATTAATCTTTAGCATGCAGATTTCCTATAGCTTTTCATAAATACATAGTTCGGTTGAGCTTGAAATATTCCTCAAATCATCTTGTCCAACTGTCTCACCTCATATACTAGGACACTGCATTCTGGGAAGTTGATTTGCCTATTGTGGTGTATTTGAACAGTGTGGTATACTATTTTGTGAAAAAGCCCAGGATGCAGATGACATGGTTTCTATGCAGGGCTCTTGTCTCAACTCCACACTAGGTCCTTTTTTGGAGGACCAACATTTCTCTCTGGTGTTCTGGAACTTTTAACAATAAGAATATGAAAAAATTAACATAATTACTCACACAGCCAATGAAAAATTGTTAAGCAGAGTAAATTACATTACCTGGGTTTTGTCACTGTCAAACAAGATTGTTACACACTGATAAATACGGGGGCCCTCTGGCTAACAGCGCAGAGGAGATAATCCCATCCAAAGCCTCACATTATGAAACCTTAGGTCCGCTTTCATAATTCCTACTATCAGCAACCTATAAATAGAGTTTATTAACAGACACTTAGAACAGTTTCACTGAGGCAGTGAATTTCCAGAGTAGCTGGAATTTCACAGCACCTTGAACAAAATTCCATAAGGTATATAGGTGTCAATTTTCTCATCTATAGAATGAGATATTAAGTATTCTGCCTTACCAACCTTCGAGAATTGTGAGAATTAAACATGACAAGAAATGAGAGAAGCATTCTTTAAGAATGTAGGTAGATATAAAGATATTGTTATAAAGCTCTTTTTTTCTGGGGAGAATTACTGTTCCACAGAAGGATTGACCCTCTATCTTGGTTCAATAGCCTCTGACTAATCAACTAAATTGACTTCTATCTTTCCTATTACTGGAGAGAAGCAAACAAGTATAAGATATATACATAAGTATCCATACTCCCTTGAATGTCGAGTTTGGCAAAATACAGATTATGTTGTTTTTGCTTTTGTGGTTTTGTTTTCAACAGATAATGTTTCTTGCCACGTATTTTATTTAGTTTACATACCTGGAGCACCTATTAAGTGATGGAGAAGTTACATATCATGCATTTAGAGTGTGTACAGGGAAGTCTATGAGCCGATGAGAAGTCTCATAGAGTTCTCTGCCTACTTCACGGCAGTTATACCTGGCAGGGTCCATTTTCTTGACTTAATCAAGAACCAACAAAGCCACTGGTACCTGCGCCTGTGAAGCATCATCTTGACAACCCTCAATGTTGTTACCTTTTATTAAGAGTAGACACGAGGCCTTGATAGACAAAAAGACTTATTTAGGTCACAGAGCTAACTAACCCCAGCACTACACTGGAGTTGCTGAAATAGATGTTTACAGAGACTCTGAATGGTACACTGGCAAGGACAAATAAACCAGAAGTCGAGGGCTGTCTTCTAGTTTTCCCAACGTCAGCCACCAGCAGTGAGTTTATGCAAAGCATTTCTTCTCTCCACCAAAATTCTGTCAGCTACAAAACAAGGGAATTAAGTTAATAGGCCTTTTGGTCCCTTGAAGTAGATTGATTTGAGGACTAACAAAAGCTTCAATAGGGCATGGTTTTTTTTTGTCTTGCTCATGGCATCACCCTGTTTCCAGAACAATGCCTGCGCATAGAGAAGGGGCTCAGTAAATACTTTAGTAAGTAAATGAATGAACAATCATTTGGGAATATTCCAGAAATGTATCCAACAGCATCTACTTCAATAGACATACTCAAAATTTCATCAGCATCCTTGGATGGCTCCCATCACTACACTGTTTCAGCAGCCTCCTCTCCAAGGGCCAGACTCTGTCTCTTCACACTGTTACTTTCTTCATAGTCCTTATCACTGTCTGATACCACGTCATACATTTAATTGCTACCATGCCTCTACCATGCTTATTATTCATCTCCACACTAGTTTGTTCAAGACACAACTGCATTTGCAGCCTCTGGAGCAGTGTTTAAGACGTAACAGGCAATCAATAAGTATTGGCTGAATACAAAATTAAATAACATTAACTAATCTAGATTCATTAAATAATTCTGCAACTTTTGTGTTCTTTATTCTATTTCAGCAAGAGTATTTTTCTTAAAAAAAATGCTACATCTTTCCCTAGGAATATAAATGATCTGAAGTTAATCACACAGCATAGAAATTAGGACAATGCTCTTTTTACTTACAGCATTTGTCTACCATGGGTAACTAACCCATCCAGGATAATATCTAAAACCCGTGCTTAAGCAATGATGTTGTCAGCTATGTGTATACACAGTAATGACTGCCTGCCTGCACATTTCTGATCAGAATTCAACCAATTTGAGTCATCTATTAGAATCAAGATCTGCAAGCAGAGACAAGAAATACTCTCAATACCATTCCATTCACATGTTGGTTCCCTTCAGAGTTGCCTGAAACCAGCCCTGCCAAGATGTTTATTATCTACCTGGCTTTATGAATTACAATTACTTCCTAAATTATAGTAAGCCACACGTGGTCTGAGCCAAACAACTAGGGTCATAGAAGGTCTTTCTTTGTACTCCTGGGGATGACAGAAAATCTTCTTTGAACCAAACTTGATCCTCTTTCAAAAGAAAGGGATAACTTTAAGCCTGTAACTCCTGGGAGTGGCAAAGAGAACAGCCAGAGGGCCATGAGCTAACTTCAATTCTCTAGAGATCAGTTGAACAGATTTGGCAATCATTTGGCTTCTGTTGAGAACAAGGGCTTCTAATTATATTTCTGCCAATAGAAAAAAGGCAGCACCATGATTTAGGAAGGCCGTAAAGACATGCCAACATCATGGCTGTGACTCTGGGGTTTCCCTCTGAACAGAACATTGGGGATGTGTATGTCAAATACCCGGCTCTGGGACACATTCATGTGAATGAAATCTCATGAGGAGCTCAAAAGGAAGCTGGTGATTTGCTTCCCTTAAACTGTATCTTGGCTGTAATATTTTCTGACACTAGAAATAAAATAATTCCATGTTTTGATTCCTCCCCCACCCTGCCAAAACTGATTTGTATTAACTAGGTATGAAAGGCACCGCCAGGGAGTACAGGTTTTTTCATTCTATAACTGCTTAAAGACAAAGGAGGCAGGAAATACAGATGTTTTCTCCTTGCTGTTGCAAAAGAGTGGTGGACTAACTCTTTTAGCGTCTCTGGAATGCAAATTTTCTTTCACAGTTTAGCAGTCTTTTTTGGATTTCAGCACAGTGAACTAACACTTTCCTGGATTCCAAGACCTCCAGAGAACCAGATGGATGACAGAAATTGGGAAAAAGAACCCACACTGCTTGAAAAAGGTATGAATTTCTCACTCTGCATTTAGCCAAAAAGCACCGAAAATTCAAAGAGTGAAATCACTTTTGGTTTGTTCAAATGCATGCCATTCTATAGTTGTTTGTGGTGAGTAAAAACAAAAAGGAAAAAGAAAAGAAAAAAATCTAAAGTGCTTCAATGGCTTGGAGTCTGTGTTCAGTTTAAGCTAGGAAGCAAACTTTAACAGAGATGATATGTTTACTATCAAAGGAAAGAAAGGTTGTAGATGGAAGAGATTACCGAAGAGGATCATTTTATATGCCTGTGCTCTGAAGCCAGTGACTGCTCTCCAAAGCCAAATGTTTTAACTAGATGGTCAAGGCCCTTCAGGATACTGGTCTACCTCCCCTGCCTAGGCACTTATCCTATCACGTCTCCCACAAGTCAGTCTTTTTCCTGTCAACCCAAGCTTTTAAACACTTTCTGCTCATTTTCTTTCATGCCTTTCCATCTACTGTTGCCCCTGCCTTGAACATTTCTTCTTAACAAGTTAAGTACATCAAATTGTAAGGCCCAGGATGTGTGAAGGTTACCTCTTCTATTAATCATGCTCCTCTTCTATTCTTTCACAGCACCAGAACAGAGACCCCAAGTATAGTGTTATCTGTTCATATGCTATAGCAAATTGTAACTTTCAAAGATGGCTACACCAAAATGTATCCCATCTCACAATGTGATACTAACAGTCCACCAGTAAGAGGTAAGGTCTTGGGAGAACCTGTGTAACTGCGGCCAAGAGAATGTCATCACAATGTGATGCTAAGGGTCCACCAGTAAGAGGTGAGGTCTTGGGAGAACCTGTCTAACTGCCTGGCCAAGAGAATGTCATAACAGTGATGCTGCATGACTCCTGATGCTACTCATAAAATGCGA